ACTGTCTATCGTATTTTTTCTACATGACTGCTGAGCAATTGAATTGGTTTTGACGGGACGTACAAAACGAATAACCAGAACGTCCATTTATATCAAGTAGTTGCTCTGGACATGAATTTTAAGGCAATACCCATCTGCATTGCCTTTTTAAATCATGAAACGTCGACGTTAATTACAACGTTCCTGCGTTTTTTCGAACGGTGTACCAACAATCGACACGTGGTAGGCATAGTGACCGATGGCTCACCTGCAATAGCAGCTGCTATCACGCAGGTGTCGCGTGCACCTAGTTCGGAATGTGATAAAGAAGAATGAAGTGAAAGCAATAGTCAGGCGAGTGTCTGACGAACAAATCAGTTCACTTTATCGCGTCCTAGTTCAAGGTAAACTATCAACAACACCGTCGGATTTGTATAGAGAACAGCGTTTGTACGCCCAGCCAACAACGTTGACTGACGTAACACAACCGTTTATGCAACAAAGAGCTGTTGATTTGGATGATACGCTCAGTGAACATGAGGAGGTAGTATATAGTATTAGCTCTGAAGAGTTAACTGAACGGGACATCCAAAGTGAAGAAGAGGATGAAGAGAACAGACTATGCGATATCTGTAATCTTGCGCAGCCGCCTTGTGAAACAAATGGTACGATTGGTTGGGGTTTCTGTAGATGTGAAGCTATTTTTCATACCTTCTGTGCCTACGACCCATCACCGAACATTAGAGCAGTTCACTGTCCTATGTGCGGCTCCATTTCGGACTAAAACGAGAAGGAATAAAGGCCCTTTTCAGGGCCTCCCACAATTCGACTTACTTTTTTTTTTTTTCACTTCTTTTCCATGGCAAAGGTCAAGTGATTAAGATATCCCTTAGAGATTAATAATCGAAATTAATGTCTAATGGGATAATCGCTCATGTTTTTTTTAAACTTATTTCTAACGTTTATTAGATATCAAGGTTAAGAAAAGCTAGACAACATTTTGTCATCTAATGAACACTAATCTAGTAATTTTAGATTTAAAATAATGTGATTACCGTTCACGTTTTAGTAACACATTTGTAAACTATCTATTAATAGTACATTTTAATAGGAATATCTCAATATAGTGATAATTGTAGTTTTTTCAAAAGGTCAAGGAATTTAGAATTTCATTGATTAGTGAATATAATAAGATGATAACAAGGATGAATGTGATTAAAGCTCATAGAAAAGTGAACACAATTAAGAAAAATATCTTCTTTATGAATAAAATAATAACAATATAAAAAAAAGGTTAAACAGTAATCATTTTAATGATTAATGTGATTAAAGTTCATACTGCGGGTGTAAAAAGAAATAAGAATATAATCCTTTTCATGAATACAAAAATTATAAATTGATATTGTCGTTTTATATTAAAAGTACATTAAAGCAGAACTATGCGTACGTCTGATCGTCAACTACGCATTCATTGTTATTCATCAAAACTGATTACAACACTGTATTCACTTACACAACTATATAATAAAATAATTTATCGAACAATCGTTTTTAATAACTTCCTCATCATACTATACAGTTTTAAGTCCATACTTCTAAGATTTAATGAAAGCCAAAAATAAGGCACGGCATTTATGAATTTGACAATGTAATGGGTTAACAATGCTGAACGTTTACATCTATTCGGATAAATATATATATATATATATATATATATATATATATATATATATATACTTATTGTAATATTTGCAAATTACAAAGGTCATTATTCAATATAGGTCAGCATAATTTGCAGTAAAGTGTTGAGTCACAATAAGTGTAACAGGATTATGGGAAAATTGAAAACGCAACAAATTTTCTGTCAAAAAATGCATAGTATGAGAATTTCATCGTGTCAATGGACGTAATAATAATAATAATAATAATAATAATAATAATAATAATAATAATAATAATAATAATAGTATTATTATTAATAATAATATTAACAATAAGGATAATAGGGACAATACATTATAATAACATTTCACATGTTCATTGATGCAATAGACCTTATTCATATTTATACGTTTAATGTCGATAGACATTTGTTGAGTCAGACGACGTAGGCTTGTTCATTTACACTTCATTAAACTGACATTTCAAATGCTTGTCAAAAATGGTTACATTCATAATGTATAGATATTTAACCTTTCTTATTGCGGTTTAAAATATTCATAAATGACTGATTAAACACACCAGTTTTTATTACGACCGACAAAACAATAAACCGTTTAAATGGATTTTAAAATGGACCGCATTGATTTCTAACGTTTTCTATTTCTCACTAAGATTGCCCATTTACAAATTCAACGTTTACTAAATATTAAGTACCTATTTTGGAAACATTCTTACCACTTCTGTTATAGTTTGTTTATTATTTGGGTACTCAACATTAGACTACCAACATAATTCATCAGTCACTGTTATCAAATATTCAAACCGGTTTTCAGTTCCTCTTTTCCCCTAACGTTAAACATATCAGTATTAGGGGCAACATAACTAACAACTTCAATTGAAGGTCGGAAATCAAACATTTATCTCAATACACACTCACTAACACTACGATTTCAGTTGGTGTTTTCTTCTTGAAAAGTCTAAATTGTTTCTAAGACTACCATTACACAAAAACAATTACTCATTATTATTAAATTTCAAATGTAAAAATGCCTTTTCTGACATCCAATCAGAGCACTTGATCCTATTTCGATTTCAACTAATCAAATTGCAGAGATCAAGAGTTTACGACCAATTACAAAATTATTAAAGGTGTCAAATTTTTTGTTCATTTTCACTTGAGTACACACTTGCAAAACAAGTACACCAATCACAGACATTTGGACTATATCTCCCAGTTCACGACAGACCTTCGTCACATTAAAGGCGAGTCGAACAATGTTGGTAATGCTCTATCACGTATCCAAGCGAATGCAGTTACCTTACCGGTGCTCGATTTTCCTGTTATGGCCGCCGCTCAAGCAAACGATCCTTTCTGTACAGAAGCACCACAATCTTCGTCTCTTCAGTGCCAGGAAGTATCCCTAGCTACTGGCTGAGGTACTATCCTATGTGATACTTCTAAGGGTCTTCCTCGACCCATCGTACCCTCCACTTATCGCCATCTCGTCTTCGATGCCCTTCATGGATTGTCTTATCCAGGTATCGCGGCTACATTACGTCTCATCGCTGCACGATTCGTATGTGGGTAAAGCAATGCTTACAGTGTCAACGATCAAAAGTGCATAGGCACGTAGCTGCCCCCATTGGCACGTTCGCTACGCCTGATGCTCGCTTTGATCACGTTCATATAGACATTGTAGGACCATTGCCACCATCGCATGGGTATGATCACATACTCACGTGCATTGACCGTTTTACAAGATGGCCCGAACCTATTCCCATCACGTCTATCACGGCGGAGACAGTTGCTCACCGCTTCGTAGAACGATGGATAGCATTGTACGGTTGTCCCTCGACTGTCACGACTGACCGAGGACAACAATTTGAGTCTACATTATTCTCCTCACTGACCAGGCTGCTTGGTACGGAACGCATACGCACTACCGCCTACCATCCAGCATCGAATGTTTTAGTTGAACGGTTTCATCGACAACTTAAAAGTGCTCTCCGAGCACACGAAAACGACAATTGGTACGAAACCTTACCGCTCGATCTCTTAGGTATCAGAACGAGTTTGAAGGCAGATATCCAATGTTCCGCCGCTGAACTTGTATACGACACGACATTGTGTCTGCCTGGGGAATTCTTCACACCACGGAGCAGAAACGATTTCGGTAAATCCGACTGCGTCCATCGACTGTCTGCATTTATGCAAACGCTGTCTCCGGTGTCAACTCGAATACAACATCGACAGGTCACTCTCCCTTGAGAGTTATCTACCTGTTCACATGTTTTCATACGAGTAGATTTGGTACTCAAACCTTTACAACAGCCTTACGTAGGACCTTTTCAAGTCATCCCACGTCACGAAAAGACCTTCAGGGTTGATCGACATGGCCGCGTCGAGATCGTCAGCATTGATTGTCTCAAACCAGCACACATCGATGACAGTGCCCTACCTGATAAATTGAGACTAAATGCTAGACCTATCAAACCTTCTAGCGGGATCTCTAAATCTACCTCGGATCCAACGCTAGATACATCAGAGACCTCATTCTCACGTCCTGGTCAACAGCACGCGTCATCTGCACCATCTACGGACGAGACTTCCGTCTCACGTTCCGGTCGTCGAGTACGCTTTCGCGACTAACCGCACAGCCATTACACTCACTCTCCCGTTGACTTCGAATTTGTACAAATTCGATTACGCTTGTACTCCTTTGGCATTATCTCGGTATTCTTTCGATACTACGAGATAACCAACAAATACATCTCGACTACAGCCATCATCTGCCTTCTGATATTAGCCTACGGGGATCTTATTGGTTAACTGGCACGTAGTCTTCTTGTAGCGGTGTTCATAGTCAAACGCGACTCGACACCACGCTACAATGTCACAAACTGATCGATCCACATTGATCATCTACTACGTAGGCGGAATTCAGTTTACCATTCGAGTATAGTCGAGGTCAAGGATAACTAAATCGGATTCCTCAATCGACTGGTCCATGCGACAATGTTTCCGTCTTGTACTCGTGTAATATTTTCATACTAATACATTTCTTCAGAAATGCTATGTTTTTCTACACAGATAGCACAGAAACCACAGTACCTGGATAACACAAAAGAGTAAAGCACGCTAAGTATTAACCATGAAGCGTGACTTCGACGCAAACTACCAGGTCACGCTCAATCTCGCGCGATTCGAGTAGACCCCGATTTTCGATACTGAGGTGATACTAGACGAAATTTTCTCGCAAATAATATAGTCATGTATTCTTCATCAAAAAATAATCAAACAGGAAATTTTAAAATTCAAAGCAAAAAATATCAACATTCTCTCAGATTATGAGGAAGAGGCGGACATTCAGGAAATGTTCTAATCAACACAAATGAGCATTTTAATATTGTCAACTTATTCAAGCTTATTATTGACTGAACAATACCTACAGTCCAGCAAATTACAAGGGCCATATAAAAGATAATTCCATCTAATCATCACGCACACAAATGGCTAGTCGTCGATAAAGTTTAGATCAGTCGAGTAAAATTGGAGTGATTTTTAGTATACACAAAAATTCCAAGGTGTATGTCTTTGTACCCACAATAATTACGCATTTTTTGTAAGTCAGTAAATAAGTCAACGCAGTAAATATATTTTGGGTAATAAAAAAACAATAATTAGACAAATATTTTCATCTAAATATCCCTAGCCAAATGAATACTCTCATTATAAAATCAATACCGAAATCGAAAAACCAGAAATAAACTAAAAAATCGCTACAAGGAAGACAAAATAAGGGAGATTAGAACTAAAGAGTACAAACAACAAAAAATAACAATCTAATCTAATTTATCAATAAACGATAAAAGTGACTCAGGTAAATAAACGATCAGAGAGAAATTGCAAATTCGAGATAACGGAGAAATTTTCTAGTCAACGAAGGTTAACTTTTGTGTTGTATTTCCTGAGCTGGTTGGTGGTTTGGTATCAAAGTTTGCTATTTTCATTCTAAACAGAATTATCAGACACAAACTTCAGATAGAAAAGAACTATTTGAATTTCTCTATATATATGAATTACAGATTGTTTTATCTACAACAAACTTGATTGACTGTCGGTGATACCTGTGCTTTTATTGTCCATACAATAGCTTTTAGGTCCAAACAGTAATACAAAACAAGTGTCAATAATAGCCAGCCAAATTTAAGACTGACACAATAAATCGTTAGCTACACACGGATAATTTTGAATAAGTTACTTCTAGCTGACATTTATGCTGATAATGTCTGTGAAGAATATGAAAGCTATGAGAATAAATTATTCAACTCAGAAAAGATAACTTGACCAAAGAAATCATAAACTCTTAGCTATAAAGTAAGCGTGCACTGAAAGTGTTGTTAAAAACTAAAATGTTATGAATGAATCGGATGTGATGATAAACAACTAAGTAAATCTTGTGGTTTTAATTCATTTTGACAAATTCGATGAACTCCAATAAATAGAGGAAAATGGGCAGTACGATGTCTTGCAGTCAATATTTTATATATCTTGAAAAAATGAAATAAAAAAGGAATAAAGAAACAATATTACTAGATAGTTCAAGTAACGAAATAAAATACATTATTGAACATGAGTATGAGGATGTAAGTATATCATAGTATGAAGTTTTAACTACATCAACTTAAAATCACTAAATATTTCGGACTGAAAAGTTAAAATTGTATATATATATATATATATATATATATATATATATATATATATATATATATATATATATATATATCTGAAACTTGTTTCTTACTTAATTCCAACTCATAACAAAATATTTACTTAAAACTTACTGAAAATAATAATCAACATTCCCAAAAATGCGTTTTGATAAAATGCCGAATTTTGTATGACCTATAAATCCGCGCGAAGCTCTTCTAGAGTTACTATCGGACAAAGGAGGAGGGTTGAGCATGGAGTCAACAACTACATCCCGTAGAAAAAAATCCTTGCTAAAAAACGCTAACTAGAAAAAATCATTTAAACCACTAAAACCCTGCCATGGGAGTTGTCAGATCTTCATTCAGAAGAATTATGATGCCGAGATTCTTCGGAAATCACGACGCCGATGCCCCTTCCAACAACCAGATTAACAACTAATATAGGTACATGGAATGTTCGGAAAATGTGGGAGACCGGGAAGACTAATTAAATAGCTACGGTAATACAATTAAGCAGTGCTCGGAATCAATAGAACCCATTGGATCCAAGCTGGAAAGAAAAGGATAGATTTGGGAGAGATGCTGCTGTACTCTGCTCACAAAGAACAAAATGCTCCACACACTCAAGGAGTTGCTCTGATGTTGTTCAAAGAAGCATGAAATGCACTTATTGAGTGGGAATCTCAGGGACTCAGGATCGTCAAAGCATCCTTCAAAGCAAAAAGCGAGGGAATCATAGTGAATCTTATCCAATGTTATGCACCCACCAATGATAGCAACGACGATAACAAAGATCAGTTTTACGAGAGGCTGCAGTCAATCATAGCGAAGTACTCAGAAAAGGACCTGACCATCCTAACGGGAGACGGAATGAAAAATATTGGAAAATGGGATGAAAAAATTTTTTTTAATGGCCGTGCATTTAATGTTTATCATCATAAAGAATGGATATATATATGGTACAAAACGTGTACTCGTAGAGCTACCTGTTTTGCATACTCAACTCCATCAGTATATACTCTCTTTGAGTCTTTGGTTAATTGTTGTAAACTGAAAGAACTTCCTGGACGAGATAATTTATGACCAACAGTGATATTTATTAAATCTAAATCCGATCCAATATCTGGAACTTCATCACTTCGATGAGACATACCTAAAAATAATCAAATAATAATAAGTTTTTTAAAGATTTAATCCCCATTAAGAAGCAATTTATTTATCATTCACTTTATTAGATACCAATATGTGAGCATGATTGTGTACCACACTCTGAGTGTCGAATTTTGTAGTATCACTTGGCTGGTTGTTTAAACCTAAGTGGGCAGAACGGAATCCGAGCCTACGACTTAGTGGCTAAAACTTAAACATATTAACCACTGAGCCACCATACCATTTTGAAGTAAAAGATACATGTACTTTTTATAAAGTAACTTAACTGATATACAAGTTATATCTAGCCACTTCGATCATAAAAAAACTCAATGATTTCATGTATCATAACGAATTAATCGTATAAAACTATAAAGTGGAATCATGAGAATTAGTAAAACATAATGACAAAGCAGCAAAGAGTACGAACAACCTTAACAGGTACAATAAATTATTCAAGGGTAAGAACCTTTACAATATTCCTTACAACACTATGAAAAAATATATACTCTAACTATTGAAGTTCATTTAGTTAAGCATGACTATTTCACAGAAATCTAACCTATATATCAGTTAATTCGTTGCAGTCACACACTTATTGGGGATCATTATTGTTTGTCTGTCATCACTAACAAACACTCATTTGAATTAATGAAAAATAATTTTGAAGCATTTTACAACATAAACTGTTACTTGATTACACATTTTTCTTAATCGTTTAAACGAATTCCAACTTTTTATTATGTAAAAAGCCCATACAATGAGTGAAACAGTTATAATAAATGCATAAATTGACATCTGAAATTAAACCTTCAAAAAATATATTCACTGGGGAAAGTTTAAATAATGAAGAAAGTTAGAAATAATCAATGTCAATTTTTGAAAAACACACACAAACCAAACAAATAGGAAACTATATGAAAGAAGTAAAGTCCTATCATCGACAGATACATGTAGATTGGTTAAAGGTTTTGAAAAAGAACTGTCACGGGTTCACTTTGCGAACGAGATTCGGTGACCAACGACCAGTGACGCGTCCCAGCCCCAGCTATCTAGAGGGAGAAGTCCAGGCTTGAAATGAGAAGTATATTCTGCAACAACCAGAAACGAGCGATCCAACCACAACAATTTAAAACGTATATATACAAATATATATAATCGATATTGTCATCTAAATTTTTAAACATTCATCAATTGATTGCTATTCAAATATTTAAACATTCAATCGATAAAATTACAAATGTGAGTTTTTTGGGGGATTTATTGTCCCCAACAGGTTTATCATTTTTAATTAACCTTTGATTCGTTCATCATAACTAATCGATATGAGTCAAATCCTGGTGAGAGAAAATAAACAAAAGGCTAAAATGTATAAGATTTCCTGCTTTTATTTGGTTTAAAAAAATATAAACACAATCGATAAAAAGGGAAACATGTGTTTAAAAAAAATTATCCGGTCAACAAAACATGCTTATATTGCTACCATCCAATACGGTCAAATAAATTTTAATCGTCATAAATTGGCGAGTAGATTCAACTGGAGATGGAATTTCGGAGCGGTTGGGCTATTCTAATACTCATGGTGTAGTGAGCAGAACACCAATGGGGAAAATCAAGTGTATTTAGACACATAATTACAGAACATCTAAATAAAATTTGAGAACCATATATTAAATCGTTAATTTGGAAAATATCAATCCATAATATCAAACTTGACTGTTCCTGTTGTAAACATCAATCCATTGTCTTAGATTTCATTTTTCATGCGTTTTCATACCAATTGCGTTTTGTTCCCGTTCTTTCCTCCTCGACCTTCTACTGAAATACATTCTATGTCTGACCACAGTCATATACTACTTGTGTGGATATAAGTAACCCACACCATAACGGATCTATTTATGAATTTATTATGCCAGGTGGCAAACAACACTTCAACAAATTGCCACTAACACGGGAAGAAAACGAAGTGTGGGAATAGCTTGATATACAGATAAAACAACTTACAATGATACAACCTAGTGCATGTTTTAACAAAAGCATGATTTTGAAGTACAGAGAAAATGTGCGAACTAGAAGTACCGATAACCAATCAAAAGGGAGCAAACGTGGTACTAAACATTGAATTACAGAAAACAGACACACAGTTACCGTTACTAAGATATTATTAACAGAGGTTGATCTCATTAAAAGATTTTAATGCTAAAATACTATTAGGGAAAGACTCAATGATTGTTTGGAGTCAATTGCGAACCAAATATAGACAGAAATAAATAAATTTGGGACTGCTGATACCAACTCATTGAATGAGAAGTGATCAATGGGTGAATGAAGGATTGAAAATGATAATAAAAGTTCAAAAAATTTATATTCAGATCACTCAGAAAAATGTCGTGGAAACTAAAAGCTACGTGGAAAATATATATCTATAGGATGATAGAAAAGATTGCATCATAAATCGATTCGAGACTAAGTATCAAATGAGGTTACGTATTAATCAAGGGGTAAGGAAGAAAATAATTTATGGGTCAGATAATTGTAAAATCGACAGATGCAAAGAAAAACGACAAACATAAAGGCCACAATAATAACTGAATAGAGTGTAAAATTGCAAAACAATAATTTAAAAATTTCAATAATAATCAAATAAGTGAAGAAAAAGAAAGGAAAAAAACCCCGAAACATACCAATAAAGGTAATTAGGGCCAGGAAAGAATAAAAGATTGGACGAATCGTTTCTGCACGCAAAGTTCAGGCTTGAGTTCGTCGATTGCCAATGCCTCAGCAGTGCATAAAATATTGATCCGACCCCCCTCTAGATCCAGTTTCTTTGACTCTATAGATTACTTTAAAAGAAGTGTCCTTTGGAGCGATGTATCCACAATTAATTAACTGCTCCTGTATAGAACTAGTAATTGTTTTACATTCTCCTTTTAAAAGCCATGCCGGATAGTGTTCTGAGATGCGTTTGGAAAGTGATCGATTTGTGCGGCCAATGTAACCTGTCCCACATGAGCAAGTAAATTTATAGATACACATTGATGTGACCCAAAGCGGAAGTTTATTCTTAATACATCCATGAATGGTAGGTCGGCTAGAGAAAACAATTGTTTCTCTCACAAAAACTATTTATTTTTTATGTGACTATATTGAAAACAACAACCTTGATATGTGTATCCCAAAACAGTATCTTAAAGGACTACTTCTACGATGTACGCTCAACGTGCAATTTAGATTTGATGATCATTTCTATAGACTAACAGATGGTGTTGCAATGGATTCTCCATTGGCTGATTGTTTCATGGCCAATCTGGAAAATTCGGTACCTCGACCAATAATCGAGAGATTTTATTTATTTAAGAGATATATTGATGATACTTCCATTATTTGTGAAGACATGGACCTCAACGAAATATTAAATATTTTCAATAATTTCAGTTGTTTAGAACAACATTTACACTATCATTTAAACCTTAGTCTTGCTATGCTATGAGGTAATTGAAAGTAAGTTGTGGTTAGTCACTGATCGCGGACAGACATATTCAGTTGACTATTTGTGATCTCCTTTCCCATTATTGTTTTGTACGTTGGACTCAATGTGTGTAAACTGCTCGCAGTTTTGTGGAATAAAGTATTACCTAGCATTTACCTGTTTCTCTGTTTCATCGTATATTGTATATCTGTTATAACGTGATCTACTCTGTGTATAGCGTATTGTACGAGTAGCTAGTCTAGGGGTAGTATATTTATGATTACCGACCGGATTACCACATTATTATACCATACGACAGAGAGAGAAATTACGTATCCATTTACGTATTACATTGCTTGTGAGATGGTGTTTTGTGAAGATTGGTTGTATTTTTCTAATGCTTCCGAAATTTAAAGGAACTCCGTCCTTAAATGATATCAATCTGTGACGAAAAGAACAAATTAAACCAACTATCTTCAATTAATGTATATGTATTTCACTGTTTAAAACCATATTTTTACAGCTTTTTAGGACATTCCTTTCTGTAATGATATATATCGCTTATTTGTACTATGATGTATGTATCTAATCTTAGTGGGAATTTTATTCATTTAACTGAGAAAAATATGTACATTTAAAACTGTTAAACGCTACTTTCATTGATCGAAATTATAAGGTTCAGTAATATTTAGTGGATAAATATACGTAGAAATTTAACTGAAAACGGAATAGCTCATCATGTGAACAATACACACTATTTTCATATAATAAAAAGAGAAAGAAAAGAAGGAATCATTAAACCCAACAATTTGATTTTCACATCTTTTCCTCTAACATATTTACACAAACATTCTGAGAACATTCCCAAAAGAAACACATATTAATGATAAATGTTTCTTTGAAATATACATTATAAAATTCCTTTCCATACATACACTAAAAATAGTTTATTAGTGGGTATTACATGTATTATCTTATATTTCGAGTTGTTGTGACTTATGATTACAAAATCGATAATAGTTGATTGATTTATAAGGACATAAAGTGTTTTACGTTAGGAAGAAAGAGCATTTTGTCAACATGAATTACTTATACCAGGAAATTAATATTCATAAACATGTGAATTATAATATCTTATTAAATTTGATGATAAATATAAATAATTTTGATAAAGTAAAGCATAAAATACGAATAAATACAATAATATCCGAAAAATCCTTCAAAATATAGCCTAGTTTGACAAAATGTTAAAAATAATAACACTAATAGTGAAACTACATATTTCTAAATGAGATCATGAACCGATTGGTGTTAGACCACCATTAAAAACCTGGGAGCACTGGACGGCCGTTCCGTAATATTGTGAGACTCCTCAGCAGTGTGCATCCACGGTCCCGCTTGCGGGATTCGAACCTGATGCCTCCGGCCTCACGCGCGAACGCTTAACCTACTCGACCACTGAGCCGGCATCCAACAGTGTTAATGTTTAAACTCAACCAATCCACGAAGTTGCGCAACCATCTTCAATTGTACTGAGATAGACGCCTGTTTCTACCCGACACAGATTAGCTCCACTGGTCACACTACCAGCGGCACGAGGAAAGGCTTTCAACAGCGTGTTGTCGAATGGAGTGAAAGATTCAAAAATCCAAATCGCAATACTACGGTTCATCGTTGAACAATCAACTGAATGGAACTCGTCACTGTACATCAACTTCTTGATGATGAGAAACCATTCGGCAGTGTAGGTAAGAGGACTTTATGTAAACTTCTTCGACACGGTGGTGTAACTGAAAAGATCAGCAATATCAGCCGGAATTCATATAATGAACTTCACAGCAAAGTTGTGCATGGTGCACCTACGCGATTTTGATCGATTCTGAACCGTTACCCCGAGAGTTCCCGAGCACTGATTACGATAGTCGCGCGGACCCCAATCAAGTAGTCTGCATCTACCAATATGGCTCAGACCAGAAGTTAATAACTTCAAGGAGTGATGCCTCGTTTTCGTTTGGCTGTCCCTAACTTTTTTCCAACCAACTCCAACACCGGTTAGCATTGCGCGTCGTGGTAATCGGTGTTCAGGCACAAGCGACACGTGGCCCAACCATCTTAGTTGGTGAAGATCCAAATGATTTACCGCCATTCCCTAATACCCTGCGTCTGACTTCACTACTACTTACCCGGCGATCCCAGTTGTTATATCCCGACGAGAATAATGATTGGTAACTGTTGGAATCCATTTCTGGACTAAATCTATACATATATTTTCATTGTATAATTGTTAAGTAACTAAACTATTCATATTCGTGTCCGTCTTATTACGAGCTATATTTTGACCTATGAACTATTATTATACGATTTACCATTCTTGAGTTATGCCCAGTCTATCAATTACTATCTCCCACATTCACAGCCACATTTGGCATAATCTTGTACAAATGTTGTTTCCTATTTTATGGTACGATGTGGTCTATTTGGTTTGTATATAAACTCAGTGTGTTTGAACACATAATTCATATCGCGGAGGTTGAGATTAGTGTTCTGGACTTAACAGGTAGGGCTAGGCAGGAAAAAGGATTGATAAAGAATCTAGACTACTCGTACAGGTTTTATGCGTCATTGATCAGGCCGATAAAGCACTGTTCTCTAATAGGTGGCATCATAACGTTATATATTAATAAGACACAAGGCCACAAGTCATATCACCAGCAGATACGAGCAATATTTCTAAGATATACTAGTAACTTACGAGTATCTTCTACTTTTAATGGCCATGTTTCGCAGTCATAAAATGGAATAGAACGAACTGCCGTGCAGTATACTCATCCCTTAATTTATAGACGAATTATCTCGCTTTCTGAATCCGTGCAAAAATTTCGTCAGACACCAACCCATTAGGGCTGATCAGACTTACAAAATAAATGAAGTTGTCGACGTGTTCGACTACTTCACTCCTCAGCTTAGGTGTTGACGCAGGCCAGCCCTGAAGCAACAACTTGCATTTACTGGAGAAAAAACGCATCCCAAACATCCTGGCATTGTTGCTCACTGCTATCAAAAGACTGCATTTTATCAGAGCCTTCATCAAACAGGACTATGTGATCTGGGTATTCTAAGTCAACAAGTGAACCTACTGTCAAAAGATAAGTTCCTGAAAATTCAGTCGACGAGAACGATATTTCCAGCAGTAGGTCTATGATGAAATTAGACAGAAATGGAGATAGTGGACAGCCTTGTCAGACACCACACCTGATGTTGTGAAATCAGATGACAATTCGCCATAAACTCTGACTCGACTGGTAATGTTCCAGCAAAAAGCCTTCACAATCTTTATGTACTTCTGAGGTACATCTTTTAATGACAGACAATGCCACAGAACCTATCGGTCTACATAGTCAAATGCTGCTTTTAAGTCAAGAAAAACTATCATTGTCGGACGCCGATAAGCATGTCTGTGTTCTAAAACCTGATGAATGGTGAATATGTGGTCGATGCAGCCATGACCAAATCTGAAGCCAGCAACACGCAATCACAGTTTATTCACGTTATTAAAGCAGTTCTATTTTGTCAACACTTGTATTAACAAACGTTATATATATGAACACTGCCAGAGTTAAAAAAAAAACTGATGTGTTATGAATGAGATTGTGTATTAAAATATAAATAAATACACATACATTTAGGTGGAAGAACTGTTTTGTGAACATGTACACAATGGATACATGCTTAGCTATGTTAAAAGTTCCCGGTCAAAATGTTGACGACTGAAAAATCAACTGGTACATATCCCATGCTAGGCATTTTTTGTCTACTATTAGCATGGAAACTTTTTATATTACGCTGGAGACTTTTTCCAGTTTGTAAAACGCCGATAAGGTAATATCGACTTTAACATGGAAAACGCACTAACAAGCTTGTTTTTGCGAAAGTCGTAGTTTTTTCTTTTCTAGTTTCTCCTTAATCAGCGGGTGTTGCTTGCTTTTCCCTAGTGTGTGGGAGTGCATGGGGAAATAATTGTAAACACCTAATCCCAATGTGGTCGATTCAACCACGAACAGGTCTAAAACCTGTCTGATTTTCTCGTGTTTGTAGTTCACGAGTCTTAGTTAAGCGTCCGATAATTATTGAGGCTGGTATTTTAGATGCTATGTTAGTTAAACTAATCCCTCTATAGTTGTCACAGGATGATTTTGACCCCTTCTTATATATTGGGACAATCAGTTATTGCGACTAGTCAGATGGGATCACGTACAACTCCCAGATTTTAGCTAAAATATTAGTCAACCTAGTTGCTAGAATCGGACCACCATACTTAAAGACCTCTGGAGCCAATCCATCTGGACCAGCTACTCTTCCTCTTCAGATTGGAATGGCGGACCTACTTCAACGTTACATTCAGGCTGTTTGAGAATGGTATGTAGTTGTACAGTAGTTGGAGGCCAGCTGAACTGCTCCTTAAAGTGTTCCGCCCATCGTTCTAAACGTCTGGACTGAGAGCAGATAAGAACATCGTCTTTTTCCGAGATC